GAGCGCCTCTGAAACACGGGCCCTTAACCCCGTCTCCAATTCAGTTCCTACTTCCATTCACACCCGCCACAGACCGGGTTAATAAACAAAGCATTGACGCCCACCAAATCATCACGCCCTCTATATACTTCTGGACAATTGAAGCATCTCTTTCTTCATGGCAGGCCACCTTTGGAGGGGAATTTTTTAAAGTCCCTTCTCCTCTGAGGCCGCTTGTTTCTGTGCTCAGTTCGTGATGAAACACCCCACGATGTGTGGGTGACGCAGGCGGGCATCCCCTGAGGACGGTGCCAACCGTGCCTGCATCTGCCTGTGACACTTTCTCCGCGTCTCCGGGCATTTCAGCAGCTGTTCTGGAGGCTGAGGGGTGGGGTGTCTCCCACAGGCGGCTGAGCTGCCTCCCGTTTCCTGAGAAGAGCAGTGGAATGCAGTGGAAGAGACCCAGGCCTCCGGCCACCCAGATTAGAGAGTTCTGTGCTGACGTCCCTATATGGTCGTGTTAGACTGGATGCAGGGCTCAAGTCTGTCTGTGTTCCTTGTTTGGGAAGCAAGTGGGAGGGGAGCAGGCCAAGGGGCTATATAACCCTTCAGCGTTCAGCTTCCCTGAACACCACCCAGAGCAGAGAAGCCCAGCCCAGCACGATCAGGGTAAGTGGCAGCAGCCCAGGGATCATGATTCCAGCGGCTCTGATATTCAGACGTTGCATCTGTAGGGATTTGGCCAGGGTCACGCACTCTGCGATTTTTGAATGAAAATGGTACTCCTAAAATGATTATAGCTTTTGGCTCTAATGATCGAACCTTAAAATCAAAACTAAGCTGCAGCCTGGTGACGGGGAGGAGGGGGAGAAGAAGACGGAATGAAATCTGTGTGTCACCTGCAAAATCATACTAAACCAGCCGCCCAGGTCTTGCTGGGCACTTCAGAGACGCGGTCTAGCTGTTTGCAGTACGTTATGTGATGATTTATATTCAGGCACTGGAAACTCCAGTATCTGTGCTTCAGATCTGGCGTGGGGATTTTCCCTTGGACTGTACTTCCGGTGAAGCTGAGGTGTCTGGAAGTGGATTTTAGAAGTGAACAGAAGTTAGGTGCCTAGCCTTTGAGACTGGCTGTTTGTGTATTTGCATCTGGGTTCCCTTGGCTCTAATTGCTAGTGTCTTCTGTGGGAAAGTCTCCTGAGCAGGACTGTGAGCGTACACTGCAGGATGTGCTATGCGTCACGGTTGGTTGGTCATTTGAAGCAGAACGTGGCAGGAGCCCAGCTGAATCTTTGTGAGTAAAGAGGACGGGAGCCAGGTGTGCATCTGACAGCTGTTTGCATTTCAGCCTACGGGATGTCTGCTTTGCATTTCTCAGCCAGGCGAGGCAGGCAGGACTGTGGAGCCAGCCCTGCCACCCTGGGCTAATGGGTTGATCTCCGCTGTAAATTAGGGTTTGGCAGCTTCAGCCCAGACTAGAGTTTTCACGCTGAGGTTTTCCTTCCATTTTTTTGTGATTCATGCCTAAATATGGTTTGGGTTTCAAGACCATCGAGCTGGGAACTGGAGCGTTCCCCTCCCACTAACTCTTCATTTTTTGGCACAAGATGCACTTGAGTCGGTTGGAACAAACCCCCTGACCCGGGTGCCGTTCCAAAAGCAGACATTCGACTGTGTTTTACCTAATTAGGAAATACTTTGCTCCAAACCCAGCTGCTCATCAGGTTAAGATAAGAGTTGTACACCACAGCACCAGCTCCTTTCCGGGGACATGGATTTTTCTACCGACAGTGCTCTTACAATACTTCCTGGACATTTTTTGCCAAATAAAAATGCATTTACTGAATTTTGAGATTTTTTTTCCTACATGCTTGCTGATGTTGAGGGTCAAGCCTACGTTTTCTGCAGTTCAGTCTCACACTCCCACCCCAATGAAAAGGTTATTAAGGACATGGGTATTCATAGTGACCACACCGTCACATTTTTAGAGCCTCCTAATATCAAATATTTCATCCTATTTTCAGCTCTTACTTTTGCTTTGGAAAGTTTGCTTCACGCATTCGGAGAGCCCGCTGACCTGTCTGGTGCTGGCTGCCTTGCCACAGGCCTCGGACTCCCACTGCTGCTTCTGTCTTGTCTCCTCTCATTTCTCACCTCTCTCCTAGCTTTTTAATCTGCTACGAAGGAAGCCAAATCACACGAATGCCAAACATGATTCAGTGTCTGGAAAGGGAAGAGAAGGGTGGGAAAGGAAAGATCCAGCCATTTGCATTTTCCATTCTTACAAGTGGATTCACGAGTTGAAGGTTTCTGTGCTAAGCCTGGAGGCAGTGTGGAACAAAAGCAAAGACTCGAAATAAAAAGACCTGGATAACGATCATGTGATCATGACCACATAATCATGTTAATCATATCATTTAAAATGGTATTTATTGGAACTCATAATGTATATGCCACAATAAATTAGTTTAAATGCCTTAAAAAATCTAATCCTCATAAGAATTCTATGTGCTGTGTACTGATATTATCGCTGTCTTATAGATAAAGAAACTGATTTAGATATGTTAAATAACTTACTAAGTAACACAGCTTCTAAGTCATGAAACCCACATTCAAATCCAGGCAGTCTGACTCCAGAGTCCAAGCCCGTTGTCACCATGTGCTGTCATCTTTGCTGTCCTAACTTTATCCGTTTTGGGATCTTAGACAAGTCCCTCCAATTCCTTGAGTCTCTATGTCCTTGTTTGTCTGTGGGAGATAATAGTGCATGCCCTGGCTTTTTAAATACATCCTCTCAATCGAGGTCCATGTCCTTCACAAAGGGTTAGGTTACTCGGGGCAGTGCTATAGAAGTTCTAGGCAGCTGGAAAGGTGCAGCATTGGTTTCATGGGAACAGTCTGGCAGAACTCAGACTATTTTTTTTTCTTCACAGAAATTTCCTTTAAAAAGTGTTGGCTTTTATATCTAGGTCTGGGGGTGCAATAGTTCACCAACTTAGAAGAATCTTTCTCAACTTGAAATCCTACAATCTCAAAGTCAGGCAGAGAACTCTGGATGTCCCTCTGTTTAGATTATTCCCTCCTAGTTCTGCTTGGAAAATGAAAGGATCTGGACTGAAAGCTGAAGGGTGGCCTCATCTTTGCCTCCAGCGCCCTATGTGCACTTCCCTGAGTTTTCTCATTTGAAGAATTGAGGGCATTGGATGAAAATGTTCTCTAATAAGCTTTCAATTTCTCAGATCTCTTAAGTTGTTATTTTGCTCCAGCCTTCCAAATTTTGTTGTTAAGATTCAAGCTTAAGAGAGGGATATTTAAAATATTGTTTTATTATTTAAAAATGCAAGCTCAATTTATTTAGAAAAATTAGAAAATATTACAGAACCCAGGGTTGATAATTAAAAAGCCCACAACTTCAAAAATAACCTCCATCAACATCTCGGTGAATATGATTAATCTTTTTCCAGTGCATAAAAAATATTTTAATGGGCTCATACAATGTTACTTTCTTTAATCTGTTATTACATAAGAATATACCTGTAGCTTGTCCTTTTATTTCTCTTCCTTAATGGCCACAGAGCATTCTACTGCACGATGTGTCACTGTTTTCGGAGTCACCCTGGCTTGTTGGACTTTTGGGTTGGCAGTGATTTTTATTAATGGAATAACTGCAGCCCCTAAAATTTAAAGAAATTTCTTAGAAAGTTTTGATTGGTTCTAATGTTTTCCCAAGGGTAAAACTGAAGTCCTCAGGAGCCAAAAGATCTTTATCTTTTAAACATTTTCCATAAGATGTTTCAATATTTCCAAATTTTCATAGGCTGCCCATTACTCAAAATCTACCTTTCTGAAACAAAATTAAAGTTATAACATATCTAGAAAAACACGTGAGTATGGGTGGATACAGACAGCAAATTCCAGATATGTCTTTAACAAATGACAGGTGACTTGTCCCTGTGAAGATCTGGTCTCCTGGTCTGACATTCCATCTGTGCTCTGCAATTGTTCATTCATTCATTCGCTTAGTCAATCTCTAAAGTACTTATGAGCACATGTAATATGCTGGCCACTGTGCTAAAGACCAGTGGTGTGAACGTGGAAGTCAGAGTTTTGGCTTATAAAAAGGTCAACAGTCTAATGAAAGTACTTTGAGATAAATGCTGTGTTAGATACGAATCAGCAGAGGGCGCTCTAGGAGTGCAGAGGAAGGGTCTCCACCCAGCCCGGAAGGTAGGAGTGGTCAGGTAAGTGCCAAGACTGCTGGATTACAGCTGGGGCGGTTCCCTCCCTGTTCCCCATAGGACCCGGTGAAGTAGCTCCAGCTAAGATGTGTGAAGAAGAGGACAGCACCGCCCTGGTGTGTGACAATGGCTCTGGGCTCTGTAAGGCGGGCTTTGCTGGGGACGACGCTCCCAGGGCTGTTTTCCCATCTATTGTGGGACGTCCCAGACATCAGGTGAGCAAAATTCTCTTTGGAACAGAGAGAAACAGGGCTACAGATCTGGTCCCTCTATGTCTCTGTGTCCATGGGTATCCATAGATTGTCTGTTACTCTCTGCCCCAAAATTATGGAACCGTGTTAAAAATATACCTCTGATGGCTGATGTCTAGAAATCAGTGCCAATTTCATACACAGTGTTAACAGGCTATCTGGTGGGTGTCTATCAGATACAAAATCTGACTCTTTTTCATAAGTCCTTTTTGTCTAAATGTAATCATTGTCATCATCACCAGTATCAGAAATACTTCTGTGTTAACCTGACATACTCCATAGCTACCCTTTGGGAAGAAAGTGAAATAAAAGCCCAAGTTACTCCCTCTCAAAGAGCTTGCTGTTAGATGAAAGAAGGTATCATTACCAAATGTAATTTTACACCTGTTAGCTGTCAACAAAATATATGTGAATAGCCACGTGGTAATTTTATGTAACATTGTGTAGAAACAAAATGTTGGTGGCAGCCACAGGGTAAAAACAGAGTTTCATCTCAGAAGTCTCCTTCACATCAGAAATGTATTTTGCACATTGAACCTATCTGATTGATATTTAAGCTTTCAGTTTGTCATATATTCACAGGAACCAATAGTAGAAGCCTCCCCTCCAACAAATGAACTCTGTCTCTTTGTCGAACTTGTGCAATGGAGATATTTTGCACAAACCACTACCGATGGAACTATAGTAGCCATGACTGTTGGGCAACTCTAAGTCACTGGAGTGCAATTTTAGATTTTAGTAATGAGAATTCTCTCTTTTTTTTAAAGCTTCACCTTAATGATTGAAAAATACATCCAGCTAGTTTAAGCAGATGGCTTAATGTTGCTTGGTATGGATTTATCCATTAGAAATCAAGCACTGAGTGGTCATTTGCAGAAATAATGCTTTTGCTTATAACAGATAAACTCTTGGATAGGTGGTTACTTTAGAGGTACAATTTAAAGGATTTATAAGAGGCAAAATGGTGAGGAAGGTATAGCTCAGTGGTAGGGTGCATGCCTAGTATGCATGAGGTCCTGGGTTCAACTCCTAGTACCTCCATTAAATAAATAGAGGAAAAAACCAACTACCCCCAAAAACTAATTTAAAAGAGTTTTTTAAAAGAGGCAAAATGCCATTTAGCTAATATGTGAAACTTCATACGTTCATTCAACAAATGATTGAATGTGGGGTATGTGCCAGGCAATCTGTTATAGAGAAACGAGACAAACACTATCTTTGCCCTAAGAGAGCACATCAAGGAATATAGAAGATAAAAGACACAA